CTTTCTTTTATAACTAGGTTTATAGCAGTGGTTCTCAACCTGTGGGTCGGGACCCCATTTGGGGTCGAACGACCATTTCACGGGGGTCGCCAAACAACGCAGTCCGCCATTTTTCCCCCTTTTCCTTAGCTGTGCTACTCCCTTTTATTCTATTGGCTTTTGAAAGCCAATAGAATAGACTCTCTTGAATAGAGTCTAATTCTATTGGCTTTCAAAAGCCAATAGGAATTGTCCAGGCTGTCTCTGCCCTGCTGAGCCCGCCAAAAGTCCCATTCTGCAAACGGTGCTGCAAGTTGTCTGCAGTGAAGGCGAGCTGTCTGGAAGTTTCCACCCCTCCCTGCTGAGCAACTACTAAAAATGTAAGTAAAAGAGGGCCAGGGGTGGGAGGTGGGAGGCCGGCGGGCGCAGGGAGGGTTGCTGGCACGCGTGGGGCCCAGCGGGTGCTTTACCTCCCTTGGGCTGGGCCAACTGGTGGCCCAGCCAGTGGTCGCCATGTGCCGTCTCTGCTGCTTGCCAGCTACGCCTCGGCCGGCGCAGGGGGCGGCACCACGCATGCGCGGCGTTCCCGGGCAGGGAAAGTCCTCGACTTACGACCGGTTGGGTAGTCCTCGACTTATGACCGGTTGGGTAGTCCTTGACTTACGACCGGTTGGGGGTCGCAGCATTAAAAAGGTTGAGAACTACTGGTTTATAGCCTTTAATGCTCCCTTGACTCTCAACTTTGCGTTGACAGTGAGGACTTAAGAACTTTGAAGTTTGACTTGCCTTGGCTGCATCCAATTTTGAGGGTTCAACTCCCAACACTCCATTTCCCCCGCCCCAAAGGAGTCTAGAGGGGTTGGTGGCCTGGAGTGGGAGGGGGGAAGGGATAATTTTGTGCGTGTGTGTGGGTGAACACATACGTGTGCGTTTGTGAGCACTCATAAACACTTGTTGCTCGCGCGAGTGGGACCCCGAGTGTGCATAACGCTCAGGCGAGTGGGGGCAAAAAGCACTTGCGACGACGCACAAGTGGGGTTGCAAACACCCTCAACACACGGGCGAGCGGGGTCGCCAACACCCATGATGACGCTCGTATGAGTGGGGTCACAAACACCCATGACGCTTGCGCGAATTGGGCTCTGGGTGCGTGCACACACACATGTGCATACCAGCCAGCCCATTGATCTCACTTGAATTTGTGAGATCTCTTTTCCATCTGAAAAAGGGCTTTTGTTTGGAGAAATTAAACAGGGGCCATTTCAACAGCTCCTATTCCAAAGACTTGATGGCTTTTATATTCCTGTTTCTCATTCTGGTCCATGGTGCATTCTGCGGCTGTTATTGCCGTATATATATCTTTATCATCTATCCAGAACGCTTCTGTCAACGGGCAGATTAAAGAAATGTTGAATAAACGTCTAATTTGGCCCGAACCTTTTGCACTCCAGCATTAGGGGCGTTCAAATCAGCTGAAACCTCCTTTGAATTCACACAATTGCTCCAATTTTGCCATTTTGATCGGAAGGCGGGTGGGGTTGAGTTATTTCCAGATTGAAGCATCTTGAAAATATTTCCATTTTTGAAGAAATGACCTTGCACACAGTGTCAGCAAGAATACGACTGCATTCTATATATATATATATATATAAAGAGAAAGGGAGAGATTGCTAGGGGCAAAAAGATAAGATACAGAACAACAATTTCCCCCCCTCCCCATTTTTTTCAAGGTTGGCCAAAGAAATCACAGGGCATGAGTTAAGGCTGAATGGCAATCAAATACTCAGACAGGTTTTCAATTCCCTCCACAACCCGAAAATTTAATGGGTTTGCAGATAAGGCTCCTTCTGACTTCATTCAGGTGATCCAGAACTAAACTGTGTTGACACCGATTGTTAATAGACACAGGACAATTTACGTGTGTGTTCTGGGGTGTGTCGGCCAGATAATTCCACCGTATGTTAAAGGGAGGCAAACATTCTAACAGAAAGGACAGAATGTAGAATAGAATAGAATAGAATAGAATAGAATAGAATAGAATAGAATAGAATAGAATAGAATAGAATAGAATAGAATAGAAAATAGAAAAAGAATAGAATAGAATAGAGTAGAGTAGAGTAGAGTAGAGTAGAGTAGAGTAGAGTAGAATAGAATATAAAATAGAATAGAGAATATAATAGAATATAAAATAGAATAGAGAATAGAGAATAGAATAGAATAGAATATAAAATAGAATAGAATAGAACAGAACAGAACAGAATAGAATATAAAATAGAATAGAACAGAACAGAATAGAATATAAAATAGAATAGAATAGAACAGAACACAATGGAATGGAATGGAATAGAACAGAACAGAACAGAATAGAACAGAACAGAATAAATATGGAATCGAATGGAATAGAAAGGAAAGGAATGGAACGGAACAGAATAGAATATAGAAAAAGTAGAATATAGAAAAGTAACCCAGTTCTTTTCCTGGGGGTGCAAATATAACTGAGTTTATTAATTCTTACTTTCTAGCAAGGATGCATAGAAAAAGAGAAAGTTGATGCTTTTGGGAGGATGGGAATCCTTTCTGCACAAGACTCAATTTATTCCCTCCGTACACGTTTTATTTTCCTTTCAAGACGACTGAAGATAAAAACATATTAAATCTGACTCTAATGGTGCTCAAACCACATTGAAGAAGCAAACCCACAACACAAAGTTCATTTAACTATAATCCACTAAGTTGGATTTTCATTATGGCCTAAGTTGGTAGTCCTCGACTTATTTAACGACTCATTTAACGACTGGTTAAAGTTACGACAGCACCGAAAGAAGTGACTTAAAAGCAACCCTTGCCGTTAACCTTTTGCAGTATCCAAATCATCAAAATTTGGATGCTGGTCAGTCCTTAACAGAGATTGTGTCACCTCAGGGTCCCATGATCCCCATTTGTGACCTTCCTGGCTGGCTTCTCACATGGCCAAGTCGATGGGGGAAGCTGGGTTCGCTTAACAACCGCATGATTCGCTTAACAACGGCAGTGACCACAGCAAAAAGGGTTATACAATAAGGTGCCAGTCGCTTAGCCGCTTTGCTTAAGTGAGGGAAGTCCCAGTTCCAACGGTGGGGCTAAGCCAAAGACCTCCTGTATAGATATTTAGATTCGTTTTTTATTTATTTATTTATTTATGAGACTTATATACCGCTTTTAAGTGCAAGCACTCTCTAAGCCAGTGGTTCTCAACCTTTCTAATGCCGCGACCCCATAATACAGTTCCTCATGTTGTGGTGACCCCCAACCACTTATATATACATCACCGGGTGCCAGGGGCGTGGCCAAAGAAAAGGGGGGGGAAATGGCGGATAGCCTTGTTTGGCGACCCCCGTGAAATGGTCGTTCGACCCCAAATGGGGTCCCGACTCACAGGTTGAGAACCACTGCTCTAAGCGGTGTACACCAGTAAGCAATGTATATATATATTGACATTGCCCCCAACAATCTGGGTCCTCATTTTACCTACCCCGGAAGGATGGAAGGCTGAGTCCACCTTGAGCCGGTGAGATTTGAACCGCTGACCTGCTGAACACAGTCAGCTAAAGTGGCCTGCAGTACTGCACTCTTAACTGTTGCGCCACCTCGGCTCTTAGATCTTTTACATAGATCGTTTCCAGTAGGGTCTTGATTCTCTTTCCTGCACTAAACTGGTGAGCTGGGAAGCGGACTGTAAAACTGAGAAGTGTGCAACGTGCAAAGGATAATGGGATTGCCACTCGACAGGCTACCTCTGGGAGCTGACAGTTGCTTCAAAACGCCAACCCAGCGAAATTTATTCTCCAACCCCACTTGTCATAGAGGGACCCTGAGGGACAGTTCACTCTAGAAAGAGATGTTCCCAACAGCCTCAAAGAACATTCAATGGTGTTTCGTTCAGGCTGGTGCCTTCTGGGTTACAGTTACAGAAGGAGTAGAAAGTGGTGGATCTCTAGAGGTTCTTCAGCACCAGCTGAGGTCCATAGGAAACAGTGTCTGGAGATTCCTTCCTTCCTTCCTTCCTTCCTTCCTTCCTTCCTTCCTTCCTTCCTTCCTTCCTTCCTTCCTTCCTTCCTTCCTTCCTTCCTTCCTCCCTCCCTCCCTCCGTCCCAGTTGTTAGAATGCAGCATTGCAGGCTGACTCTGCCCACTGCCAGCAGTTCGATCCTGACCGGCTCAAGGTTGACTCGGCCTTCCATCCTTCTGAGGTCGGTAAAATGAAAACCCAGATTGTTGGGGGCAAATATTCTGACTCTATCAACTGCTTAGAGAGGGCTGTAAAGCATTGTGAAGCGGTATGTAAGTCTAAGGGCTATTGCTATTCTTCTTCCTTTCCTTTCCTTTCCTTTCCATCCATGGTATGCAATGGTTAAAATGCAGTATTGAAGGCTGACTCTGCCCACAGCCAGCAGTTCGATCCTGACCGGCTCAAGGTTGACTTGGCCTTCCATCCTTCTGAGGTCCGGAAAATGAGGAACCAGATTGTTGGGGGGCCAACAGACTGACTCTCTGTAAACCACTCAAGGGAGGGCTGTAAAAGCACTGTGAAGCAGGATATAAGTCTAAGGGCTATTGCTATTGTTCTTCCTTTCCTCCTTCCTTCCTTCCTTCCTTCCTTCCTTCCTTCCTTCCTTCCTTCTTTCCTTCCTTCCTTCCTTCCTTCCTTCCTTCCTTCCTTCCTTCCTTCCATGGTATGCAATGGTTAAAATGCAGCATTGAAGGCTGACTCTGCCCACAGCCAGCAGTTCGATCCTGATTGGCTCAAGGTTGACTCAGCCTTCCATCCTTCCGAGGTCGGTCAAACGAGGACCCAGATTGTTTGGGGGGGGGGGGCAACAGGCTGACTCTCTGTAAACCGCTCAAGGGAGGGCTGTAAAAGCACTGTGAAGCGGGATATAAGTCTAAGGGCTCTTGCTCTCGCTGTTGGGAGCCAGGAGTCCTCGCACTGGGTGGAGGACCTCTGGCCAACCGTGGGCCTCTTGAGAAGACAAAACAACTCACCCGATACCAGACGATTTCTCTCATTCTGCCGTCGGTCTTGAAGTTACATTTCAGGGTCACGGCGTCACCCACCACCACGGGCGGAAGAGGATCAATACTGACCGTGAGGTAGCCTAAAGCAGGGAGAAGAAACAGGAGGTCAGTTATGAAGCATTTTCTGACGGGTTTCCTGGATCGGAGGACCTTGAGGTGGAGAAGATTGCCAGAACAGCAGAGGGGATGTTTTTGATCACCAAGAGCTGAGTGAAAATGGACATTTCATGTTGTGTTAAATGGGGTGGGGAAAAAAGGGAGTAAAAATTGATTCGGTTGAGTCCTATATTTTTATTTATTATTAATTCTGAACGCTCAGCCGCAAATCCTAAGTGCTGTAAAGCATTAAAAAGCACACACACACACACACACATACACACATTTTGAGCTTTCTTTTCAGAATGTCCCGACTCTTTACAAATAAGGTTGTCATCCTCTTTTCTTAATTTCGCTTGCAGATTATTTTAAATTGCTTTTATCGCTGTCCTTTCGTGTTAGTGCCTGGCATGCTATGATTTGATTTGGGTTTATTTTTTATTTTATTTTTTATCACTGAGGATTAGAATTAGCAGTGCATTTCTGTTATTGGATTAGCAAACTGGCTCTTTTGTTATTTTATTCATCCGCGAGCATTTTATCTGTTGGCGGATGTTTTCTTTCTTCGCTGTCCCATTAACTGCCGTGAGTCTGCACGGATTTTGGTGGTAAACAAAATAGAATATATCAATCAATAAATTACAAAACTATCGGACTTTAACTCATCCAGATATCCAGAACCAACAGACTCTGATTTGGGTTTTGTGTGTGTGTGTGTGTGTGTAAAATCAAAATCAACAACAAAAGATTAAAAAGTTTAGGTCGTATGAGCAAGAATTTGTTTAGTCACCACTCAAAGTTACAAGGGGACTGAAAAAAGTGACTTATGATCATTTTTCACCGTTACGACCGTTGCAGCATCTCCAGGGTCACATGATTAAAATTCAAACGTTCAGCAATTGACTCATATTTATGACGGTGGTGCAGAGTCCTGGCGGGACCACGTGATCCCCTTTTGCGACCATCTGACGAGCAAAGTCAATAGGGGATCCAGATTCACTGAACAACCGGTTTACTAACATATCCACTGTAGTGATTCTCTTAATGACTGGAGCAAGAAAGGTCGTAAAATGGGGGCAAAAATCATGTAACAAAAGTCTCACTTAGCAACAGAAACTCAACTGTGGTCGTATATCAAGATTCTGGAATTTCTCCAAGCAAACTGGTGGTTGAGTTTGCAATACAACACAGGCAGTCCTCAACTTACAATCGTCCATTTAGCGACCGTCCAACGCTGCAACGGTGCTGAAAAAAGTCACTCACGACCAGTCCTCGTACTTACAACAGTTGCAGCATCCCCATGGTCAAGCGATCAAAACCTGGATGCTTGGCAACTGGCGTGTATTAAAGACGGTTGCAGGATCCCCACGGTCACGGGATCCCCCTTTGCCACCAGGCTGGATTCTGACAAGCAAAGTCACTGGGGAATCCGGATCTGCTTAATGACCACACGATTCACTTTAACGACTGCAGTGACTTGCTTAGCCACTGTGGCGAGAGCGGTCGTAAAATCAGGCACGCTTCCACTCCCCAACCAGCCTTGCTTAGCAATGGAAATTGTGGTTGCATGTCGAAACCCGCAATGCACGGTTTCTTCCACCGTGTTTTGTTAACCAGGTCACAATCCCGGTGTTTACACACAACAGGCTAAACCGCAAACCCCAATTCTCAAGCCGAGCTGACCCCCTGCAGACTAAACTGAGGCCAAACCGGAGGCTTAATTTAGGATGTGGACTAGTTCCTTTACAAATCCTTTTTCTTGCAAAATGAACGCAGCTTTAATACACCTGTTTAGACAGGCCTCATTCATGCAAGAAAAGATTCAGGAAAAGCCAATTTTTTTTAGGACTGTTTTTACCCCGATTCCCTTATCCACAGCTTCCCCACTGATTTCTCCCCAGTCCTAACCTTGCTACAACCTGGCCCACTGTCTGCCTCACAAAAATCCCCATCCTTCACACCTGTTGAAATTACTCTGCAGAGCTCCCAGGTGAGGCAGTTCAGAAGGGGTGGAACCAGGATGGGAGGCAACAGGATTTTAAAAATGTAAGCCCTGTGGACAAAAAAATTGCAGAAACCCCCCAAGTTGCCAGGGTGACTTCTGACAGCTGTCGAAAGACACCTTGAGGAGAGTGAATTATGGATTAGGGACGGCCTAATCGTCTTTTCTCCGGTTCCCCTTGGCCTACTCAGCAAGGGGGGGGGAATATAGTGGGGGGTTGGCTCTTGGTGGAGATGAGGACTCTTGCAATGAAAAAAATGGGGCAGCATGTGCAAAGCAAAAACCTTCTTAAGAATAGAATAGAATAGAACAGAATAGAATAAAGAGGGATGGAATGGAATGGAATGGAATAGAATAGAATAGAATAGAATAGAATAGAATAGAATAGAATAGAATAGAATAGAATAGAATAGAGAGAGATGGAATGGAATGGAATAGAATAAACAGAGCTGGAAGGGACCTTGGAGATCATCTAGTCTCCCACCCCCTGCTCAGGCAGGAGACCCTATACCAGTGGTGGCGAACCTACAGCATGGGTGCCAGAGGTGGCACTCGGAGCCCTCTATGTAGGCACACGTGCCATTGCCCCAGCCTTGCCTCCCCCTGCGACCCCCTCCTCACGAGCAGCCCCCCTGGAGGATTCGCCCCCGAGCGTGGCCCATGCGGAGCAGCGCAGCCAAGGACATGGCAATCAGGCAGCATAGACAAGACTCTGCCTTCACTCCCCATTGCACACAGTTGATGCTGTGGGGCGCGGGTAGAGGGTGTGGCCACCATGGCGCTGCTGTGCTGCCTGGGCGATCTGTGGCGGGCCCTGGAGGCGGTGAGTGGCCCTGCGGGAGGCAGGGTGGGGGCGGGGCAGGGGGTGGAGTTTTTGGGCACTCGGTCTCTAAAAGGTTCGCTATCCCTGCCCTATACCATTTCAGATCACTTTTTTTATGCACAAACACCTAGGAATGGAGGGAAGGACTACCTGCGACACAGGAAAAAAAACCAGGTCTCTGAGAAATTCATTGTTTCCAAGACATAACAGGATATTTATTTCAGTGATGAACTTGCACCCATGGATTAAAAAAACAGAGAAGCAGCATCCTTGGCCTTCAAGGTCTTCTGAATTTCTGATGCTAATGCACCTGGGTGAGCACACACAGACACAAACACACCACAAGGAAAGACTGTACAGCCATACTGATGATATCCCTCCTCCTTTTTTTTCTGAGCCACAACAAAATGTTTAAACTGAGATCTTTGGTGAAGTTTGGAAGCTCAAATAGCGGTCAAGAAATAAAAATGATGGAGGAACAGAAATGTGTGGGTTTATATCAATACATGTATCTCTCTTTCCTTTCTCTTTCAGCAGAAAACCATTGTAAGGCCACGCCTGGAATACTGTGTCCGGTTTTGCATCACCACGTGACAAAAAAGATGTTGAGGCTTTGGAAAAAGTGCAGAGAAGAGCAACTAAAATGATTAAAGGCCTGGAGACTAAAACATATGAAGAACGGCTGCAGGAATTGGGCATGGCTAGTCTAGAGAAAAGAAGGATTGGGGTGATATGAGAGCAGTATTCCAGTATTTCAGGGGCTGCCACAAAGAGGAGGGGGTCAACTGATTTTCCAAAGCACTAGAAGGCAAGACAAGAAACAATGGATGGAAAATAAACAAGGAGAGAAGCAACCTGGAATTAAGGAGAAACTTCCTAACAGTGAGGACAATTAACCAGTGGAACAGCTTGCCACCAGAAGTTGTGACAGCTCCATCACTGGAGTCTTTCAAGAAGAGACTGGATAGCCATTTGTCCAAAATGGCATAGGGTCTCCTGCTTGAGCAGGGGGCTGGACTAGAAGACCTCCAAGGTCCCTTCCAGCTCTATCCTATTCTACTATCAAAGCCGAACAGCGACAATGGGAAGGCTGGTTCTCTTGAATCGTAAAATTCAATCATCAGGCCTTAACCTGAATAAGTGCAGGAGAGAACAGGCAATGGGGGGCTCCAGTTGATGGAAAAAAAGGATAGGGAATGCAAAATCTGGGAGGAATTTTTGAAGAATTACTTAAGTCAAAGCTGATCCTAAGCAGAGAATGCCTTGTAAGATGTAGACGTCAAACTTCCTTGGAGATGGAAAGGAATGAATTATCTCCTTGAATTTTCACCAGATGTTAAATTGCTCTGAATTTCCATTTTCAAAATACCATAGATTCCTGAGGAAGGAAAAGCATCCGGTTGGTGGACAGTGCATTGGTCTAACCCAGGGGTAGGCAACCTTGGCTCTTTTATGATGCGTGGACTTCAACTCCCAGAATTCCTGAAGTCCACGAGTCATAAAAGAGCCAAGGTTGCCTACCCCTGGTCTAACCTATCCCATTTCCACAGTAGATCCTAGAGCAGGGGTCTCCAAACTTGGCAACTTTAAGACTTGTGGACTTCAAGTCCCAGAATTCCCCAGCCAGCAGGTCAAATCAGCAAGCTGGGGAATTCTGGGAGTTGAAGTCCACAAGTTGCCATCTTTGGAGGCCCCTGTCCTAGAGGGAGAAAGAGGACCTGGTTGCACGTCTCCGGGGCCACGCAAAAGCAGAAATTTGCCGGAGAACAGAAAGCACAGCCCAAATTTTTCCATTACCGTTCTCAGCATGGACCAGGCCCTCTCAGACCCAAATCTCTCTCCTCGCCCCTTTGAAAACTAAATTGCACCTCTTGTCTCCGTTATCCATGATGGAGCTGAACAGGGCTTTATTTGCACGCCATCTCTCTTCACATACAATTTTATCTCCGCGCTGAAGGAAATAACGCTGCAGCATATCACAGAGAGATGTAAATAACGTCTTAATGGAACTGTCATGCAGAGAGGGGATAACGGAGACACAATCGCACACTGCAGAGAAGGAAGGGGCAGAATTAGGAAAGAGGGTACTGCAAAAAAAGAGGGGCGTGCTGGCAAGACCCCCTGAAGATCCTTCCTCTCCAAGAGGCTCACCTGCGTTC